CCACACCACCAGCACCCCCATCACCACCCCCATTACCCCACGGATCCCCAGCGACCGGGCTCGCGTCATCAGCGCTGCCAGCACCAGCACCACCACCCTGGCCGCGCCGCATAGCCTCCATGCCAGCAACCGACCCCACGCCCGCGACCGCGCCCTCACTAGCGCCCATGCCGCGCGCAGCGCCGCCCAGCGCGCCGGCGCCCGCCTCCGCGGCCCCGATCTCCCCTGCTCCGACCACCGCGCCGCCTGCGCCTACGGCCCCGCCTTCGGCGGCTGCCCCGCCCCCCATCCCTGGGATCCAGATCGGGATCGGCAGGCCCATGCCTCCGCCTACGGCGCTGGAGTGGCGGCTGAAGTAGTCGAAGTCGATGGTTACGGCTGTGGCGAGCATGAGGGCGCGCTCGTCGAGCGTCATTGCTGGGGCGGTGGCTAGGGCTGTCTGCTGCTGCTGCTGCTGCTGCTGTTGTTGTTGTGGTGGCTCTTGTTGTTGCAGATGCTCGACGGCCGACGCGTCCATGCGCAGCGCGTACACGCCCGTATCGGTAAAGATTTCGCGCGCGAAGCCGCCGAAGTTGCGGTTCACGGAGCCGAGGAGCGAGGCGTCGGAGCGGCGGAGCGAAAAGTCCCACGAGAGGAAGGGCTCGTCGACGTATGCGAACTGGACCATGGCGCGGTTGGCGTCGGTTGTCGTCTGGAGCGCTTTGCTGTTGCTGTTGTCGTTGTTGTTGGTGTTGGTGTTGGGGTTGGGGTTTTGCGTGGTGGTGGCGCTTTCTTCGATTGTGGACACGTCCCGCGATAGGAAGAGGTTGTATTTGCGCCGCAGGGGCGCCCATTGCTGCTGCGCTTCGCCGATGACGCGCATTTGCGAGTAGTGGAGGTGCGGGGCCGGGGGCTGGTTGACGAGCGCGGTGCCGCTGCTGTTGTTGGCCGTAGTGATGTCCTCCGCGGAGAGTTGCGGGTCAGTGGTTTGCGTGGGGTCGTATACGCGGATGCAGGAGTTGATGTAGCTGAATGGCCGGTGGAACTGGTTGTGGTGTTAGTCGTGAAGGGTCCTGGATAATTTGCTCATCCCTTGAAACTATTTGCCCACTCCTTGACTGGCTGTTGTTATACGCCTGCTATATCTACAGAGTACCTCTTCGTGGGCTACAGGTAGCTGTAGCACTACAATCGAGTACTGTGCAAGGGTATAATGGCGTGGCAGTCATAGGGTACAAAAGCAAGCCATATGTCCATACGTGTTTGGCATCGTGTGGGAGGGCAGGATAATCAAAGGCTGGGCAAGTTGGCTCCCTTGGAACTTCCATGGTTTATAGCTGTAGGATCACTTACTCTCAGTACTTCCCGTTCGTTCTTGTCAAACACATGCGTCTCAAAGCTCCTGTGGGTCTTGAACATTTGCCTCGCCATCGTGCCACCCAATCCAAGCTCTTTTTCCGCAAGGTAACCAATATGGTTGCCTTGCCCGTCCATGATGACATACTTGTTTGCTTGCTCGAAGCCGAGGAACACGTTCAGCATCTCTATCTGCCGCTGCACGACAATGGACGAGTTGTTCAAGATGGACATGGCCGGGTGGTCGGGCTTGATGATCCCATGCGGATCATCCGGAATATGGACGGGAGAGAGGAGGCTGTTGTCGGCGTTTTTGGCGCCCTCGCGGAGAGCGGCAGAAACGGCCTCGACCTTGGATTGGTACTGTTCCCCTTCTGGAGGCTGTCCCGCTGGCTGGTCGCTGCGTGCTTCCGAGGGCTTTCCCACTGGCTGGCTTCTGGGCGTTCTGGATCTACTTGTACTGGGTGCCACGCGTGGTAAAGGCGTTGGCCTCCTGTGCAACGAACCCCTGGGAGGACGCAGAGCGTAGGAGCGGATGACCGTAGGTTGCCAGACCTTGGTTGGGTTAGATCCAAGGATACGGAGACTTCCCAGGCTTGTTGATTGGCGAGGCAGGCCTCGGGATGCCATTCTTAACAGCGGCATTGTGGGAGCTCCACGCGCGGGTCACGCGTCGCTCTACTGTATTCGAAAGTCAGTTACCGGGACGTTCCGTGATGCGAAGAAAGACGAAGTTCAAGGAAGCTATTTTCATGGGGTCGAATAGAAAAGCAGTACGGAGCCAAGCGGGTATTCCTACAACCTCATTCTGGTGGGTTGGTGACCGATCATAGCAGTCCCTGGGTTGCACTCCCAAGAATTGTGATACTGGAAACGGTGACTATATTCAAATCGTCCAAAAAGGGGATCAAAGCAAAAGTCGATGTCTCATCTCAACCGCTTCTCCGAGCATGAAGGAGCGGTCCAAGCATCTTTCACAGGAAGTCGCTCGCCCCAGGGTTGCCGACGCAGCATGAAGAACGATGGCAAAGAAAGGCGCGCCTACCGAGTTTCTGCTTCTGGAAATTACTCAAGAGCGTCTGACGCTGGGTATATGTAGGGGATTGAGGCTGTTGTCGCCAATGTCCAAAGCAATAATGGAAGAAGGTGGTAGTGGGAGGCGTAGAGGTGTGGAGTTGACGACGACATGGATGCCTCCGGATGCCTGTCGCGGCTTTAACGGATTTAGTCTTGTCGGGAAAACACCGGCAGTCGAGGCCCTGTGGCACAGGATGGAAGCCAAGAGACTACACTCGGAGGAGGATATCATTATTCATCAGAGCGTGTCGTAGCTAATTATATCGCTCATGAAGGTATGCCTTTGACAGTAGTAAAGGCTCCTCTATTGTGTGCGGCAACATGACATCGAGCTGCTGACCAACGTCTCCAACCCAATTTGATGAGCCGCATCATTAGGCCAAATCGTCAGTATCGATACTACTCCCGATGCTTTTCTCATCTAGCTATTGTCGAAAACAAAGACTTAAGTGTTTGGTGTGAGGACCCCCTGCATCATGTCCACTAGCACTCCTAGGACACTGCGACTGGACATGTTCTACTCACTTATCGAAAGCTCTAACGCTCTTGCATGATGGCATCCTAATTATACACAGATGCCGCTTGCTCGTCTTTTGAAAATGTCGATTGGGGATATCCTCTACCAACGCCAGCCCAATGCGCACCCCTCGCGCAACCATAACGCCTAGCCCAACATGCCAAACCCCATCTTTCGCACCCAGCCTCTCCAGAGCGGAAAAGCACGCAAGCCAAACAGGCCCTCTATCTATGCATCTCGTCGTCGTTGTCCGCCGTCTATGCTATCGTACAGTGGTACTGGTATCGCACACTCCCGTTGACATATACCCCCGTTTAGATGACAGGGTTGCGCGTCTCATCCGGCGGCAGCTTCATGTAGTAGTCGATAGCGGCAGAGAAAGCGGCGAAGCCGGCGCAGCCCACAGCCGTGGCCTGGGGACCGGCCTTCATGGCCAGCGCACCGCCCGTGATGCAGCCGGCCGCGACGCCGTTGTAGAGGTCGTTCTTTGCGCGAAGCTGCACATGCCGTCAGCGACTCATCGTCCTCCTGCGTGAGTGGGGGTTTGGAGAAAGGCAACTTACGCCCTCAATCGCACACTCAGTCCCCGAGAACACCGCGCCAATAAGCCCAAAGTTCTTACCCGAGCTGTAACTCGCGCGGCCCATCTCCTTGAATCCCTGTCGCAGCTGCTGGCGCATCGGCAGCTTCGCGATCTCCTGGCCCTGCGGCGTGAGGGGCGTGTCGTAGCGCATCTGCGAGCGGCGGTCAGTCGGTATGTCATCGAGAGGGTAAGAGGGCGAGACGTACACTGGACATGAAGAGGCCGAACAGCGCACCCATACCTGCGCCTGCCACGCCCGACATGATCGTCTTGGCCACGCAGGACTCCATGCCTTTTTGCATCTGCGCCGCGCGTTAGCAAACCCGTCCTCCGCGCCCATGCACGCGGATCAGCCTCACCATCTTGACCATCGCCTGCTCCTGCTCGCTCATGCCCTGCGTATCATTGCTGCGCGCGCCGGGGAACGCACCGCCGCCTGGCATCATTCCGGGGAAAGACATGGTGGTGACGGAAGTGTTTGTTGTGCTTGCAGGGAAGACACGCGACGGAGGTTCGTAGGGATTCTGGAGCAGAGAGCGCGGGGGCGACTACTGCTGTGCGGATGGCGGGGGTGCGTGGGCCGTGGCGCTGGTGTTGCGGTGCTGGGGTTTTTTCTGGCTGATGCTGCAAAGCTGGAGAAGTTTTGGGCCGGACGCGACGATCGACCAGGGTCCACTTCCGATGGAATCGCCGAATCCCGCCGTCGTCCGTCGCCACCACCGCCGGCCGCCACCACCGCTGGTGCGACGGCTTCTGGCGGCCTGCCAATCATCGTTCTGGATGGTTTTCATGTAGATTTTGGGTCCATGGAGAGGGCCTTGTCCACTTGGTTGTTGAGAGTACCTCTACACCTATCGCTCGGTGCATCATGATGGTATCTGAAAACCGCATGAGATATATACTGATAGGTTGTGGATGATTTACCCGCTTTTTTAACTATTCTTCCTACCCCTTAACTACTTTTTTAGCTAGGATTCCTGTACCCCACCGAGTACTCCTTCGGTAGTTATAAATAACTTCGGCTTTTTACTCAGGTAATGCTACGTACTTATACTTGATGCTAGAGGATAGGGGGGGGCGAGTTATTATATATACTAAAAATAAATCGATACAAGGGCACGAAAACACCTATAACTATATAAGAGTTCTAATATACAAAGTATAAAGATATCTTAAGAGGGGTTGAAATCGAGGGTATCCCTCTCCCCTCTAGATATTTTACCTACCCTACGCGATAGCATCTATAGAATTATATAATATATTCTACTCTTTAAAATTTTAGGCCTATATACCTTTATAAGTACCTTTATACTCTTCGAATATTTTATTTTTATACCTTTATAGATACTCTAGTAATCGGATAATACCCTCGTAGTATACTCTAGTACTCGTATATTTTTACTTTTATATAATTACATAGCGTCTACTAGCTATAGTGTAATAGTTTACTATAACTACCTAAAAAGTATTCTGTAGGTATTGTAGATTTTACTTAAATATTTCTATTTCGGCCCTAGCTATCCCTCAACTATATATTAAGATGTAACTTTATAGACAGCTACGTATAGAGCTGGAGATATATACTTCGTACCTATTTATTCTACGTATGCTAAAATCAGATTACATTCCCATATAGTATAAAGAAAGCTATATCATGGAGCTTAATATAGAGCTGAATGTTTCTACAATGCACGCTGAATGCGGATAGAGACAGAGATAAAACTAGACTCCCCCTTTGCGAGAGAACAAATAAACATAAGTACACCGAAGCGAAAAAGCTATATATACATATACAAACGTCTCTTCTTGAATGTAAGTCTGACGCGTCCTTCCCGGCCGGGTGAAGGGAAGTAGCAAGTGAAGCCGGCCGGGTCATTGGCCGTCCGTAAATTTCAGGCGTCGCCGCGCTGAGTTCAAATATATCCATAAAAATCGTGTATGGCGTCTGAAAAGCTCGTCGATGCAACCGAAAGTCAAAGGAATCAAAAAAGAAGGATGTCGCATCGAGGAAAAGTAACGAATGTGGTGGAACTCGGTCGGCTTAGGGATAGCACATCTCGTACGCCAATAGTCACTCGGCCTTGCTGTCTTTGACCGGCTTGTACGCGATGTAGTCTTCCATGGCCTCGGCTTCAGCACACCAGCCCTCGGTCGGTGACGTGATGCTCTTCTCCCACTCGCTCATCAAACTTGAGGCTGCACGGCCCAGACTGCTTGGTGACAGCGTTTTGAGGGCGGGCCACGAGACCATTGAGCCCGTTGACACGCGCTTGCTCTTCTTTTGCATGCTGCTGAAGTCCAGAGGAGCAATACCGGCCGAACTATAGATAGATTTACGTTAGTTTTGGGTAACAAACAAAGAACGTGTAGAGTAAGAAGGCCGCAAGTTCAAGCATAGGTGCAGTTGTGCCGGCATCGCAATGTCGCCACCAATATTTTGTGCTCTCCGTCTTTCTCCCGGTAACTTAAAAGCTCCGGATGATTCGCCAACCCTTTTCGACTATTTTGCCTACCTCAAGTGATATCGCACTCATAGATATGTAACTTACCTTTTCACCCTTACACCTTTGCGACCTTGTACCCTTGTAAAGTACTAAAGGGTACGAATCGAAGCTGTCGATATCTACCGAAGGAGTACTTGGTAGACAAAGCAGACTTGCACTTCGTACCCTTGTAGGGTGGCAAAGGGTAGGGTAGAAGTCCATCCATATCTACCGCGGGAATGCTCGGTAGGTACAGCAAGACTTGCGAATCATATGCTTGTAAAGCACCAAAAGATTGAGTTGAGGTCTTACCGTAACTACCGAAGAAGCACTCGGTAGGTACAGCAGACTGACATCGCCAGGCGGTCAAAGGGAAGCGAGATAGTCAAAAAGGGTGGCAAATCATCCGGAGCCAACTTGAACTCGACATACCTGAACGTCTTGTTCTCCTACTGCTGGTACGTACCTGGTACTCGTCCGTGGGCTGCTGCGCTCAGAGCAAGGCGGAGAAGTGCGTCCTTCCGAAAGCGAAATGGAGTTGTTGGCGCTCGAATGGCCGGATTTGTACGCTTCGGTGGGCGTGTTGTCCCAGTCGTCCCAGTTGTCCTCGAGGCTCTGGCTTGATCGGTTTCGTGGCGTCTTGGCATGCTTCGACTTGACGACAGCGGGTTGTGGCGGCGTGGGCTCTTCGACGCCGTTATCCCTCCAAAACGAGGCCTCGATATCGATGAGCGCGGAACCGTCTCCGGAAGGCTGCGTCGTTCTCGGCCTACGCGCATGCCCCAGGCTCTTCGAGCGGCCAAGGCTCGTGGAGCTGCTGGAACCAATGTTCGCTCCGCTAGGTTGGAGTTGCTGTCCGCTCCCGGTGCGTCCATGCGCGCCGTTGACACCCTCATCTCCGACGGTGGCTTGGCGCAAATCTTCAATGAACGTCCACAAGCCGTCTTTGAAATCCGTAGCCATCTGTTTCCCGGTGCGCAGAAGGGCGTCGCGCATTTCCTGCTCGGTGGCGTCGCTCGGAGTGTCCGGGATGGTTGACGAGCGCGTCAAGCCTTGCGCGTCGTCCGTATTGGAATTTGAGAGATCCTTGGCCGGCGAAAGCAGAGAGAGAGCGCGGGTGTGCCTGGATCCGCTGAAGACCTTTCGGCTCGACTGCCTCTGTCCATGCAAAATCGCCTTCCTCCTCTCCATCTCCTTGTGCATCCAATTGGTCTCTCCATCAGCAGCATCGTCGTTGACGCCAAGGTTGGAGAAACTGGTCGTGAGTGGCGGAAGCGGCGTGAATCCGTGCAAGTCTTTCCGTTTCTGGGAAGTATCATGGCCGACCCATTGCCGCTTCAATTCTTTCAGCCGCTCCTCGGCTTTGGATAGCTCCTCTTTGAGTTCCAAGACGCGCCTCTCCTGGGCTGCCAGCGCCGTAAGGAAGTTGCCATCGTTGGAGACCGGAGAAGCGACAGACGAAGCATTGTCCGGGATATGGGCCGGGCTGCCGATCCAGGAAGCGGGACGGGAACGCGGAGTTGAAGGAATGCTGCCGGCAGCGGGTTGGATGGGGAAGTTCAGCGACAGACGTTTGTTCTGCCGACTGGCGACGTCAGCGTGCGACATGGAACGAGCGTGGGCCGGCATCGACGGCGTATTCGAGGGCGAGGTCGAGGACATGGAGCTAGTTTTGGAATGAAGGTGTCGACTGGGTAATGAGGGCGGCGGCATGGCTCGTGACTTCAGGGGCGGCGTTTCAAGGTCGCGGGAAGGCTGGACGAAAGCAGCGGGAGGATGACGCGCGGCCGGGGCGCGCTGAGAGCTGTCCGTGAGCATTATTTCGGCAGGCAATCAAGAAGGAAAGAAAAGAACGTTAATCATGTCATGCTTGGATGCAGTTGTCAGGAGCAGAGGATGGTTTCAGCTTGATCACAGCATCTAGACCTGGATCCATGGCCGAGGTGACGGGACGGACAGCCGGGGCCGCAGCAACCTTTTTCCGACGGGAGGAGCTGGAGGCGCAGCGACGGGGGTTTGGCGGGAGTTCGCATGCCCCCCGTCGTCGCCGCCCTTGCTGGGAGAGACGGGAGGACGGGGGGAGGGGCGGAGAAATGAGGACGCAGGGCGACGACGACGGACATGAGGAAACGGCCAGGGATAGATGCAATGCTCGACGGTTGCTCGCGGTAACCGCACAGATCGACGGGCGCCTAATCGCGAGCGTCAGGGCCGCGGAGAGTTCGGGTCGCGTATCAGACCCCGCAAAGAGGCTGATGGGATCATCCTCATGTCCGCAAAACGCCCTGTGTGATTGGTCCCTCGTCCTAGTCCTCGCTAGACCGGAGCCCGCAGCTGAAACGGGGCCCATTTGCTTCAAATAGGGACTGCATGGGGGTCGTTTTGACCCTCTGCAGCACGCCGCAAGGGGTCGTTTTAGCCGTCTACTGCGATACCGAGCAGGCCGCTGGACCGCTGGACCGCTGTAGCGTCGATCAGTGCATACAGACGCCTCCATTCTTGCAGGGTCGATGATGATTGATGATCAAAGTCCGAACTCCAGTCCGAACTCCAGGCGCGCCAGCAACGACGACGACGAAAACCAGTCCTGCCCAATCCCTCTCAACACTGCCACGATCCTCCCATGACCACGCGGAGAATCCTGCTTCATGACGTTATGGATCATGTGGTGTCGAAAGAGCATTGAGAGCCCCACCGTCTTCTAGAAGTTTTTCTCACGACTGCCCAACCGCGCCGGTGCATTGCAGCATGCGCCTCGTAGGGCGCCCGGGCTAATTTTAAAATTTGCCGTCGCCGCCCAGTTTGCTAGGCTGGCAGTCAGGGAGACCTTGGGAGAAGGAGGGAGCTTGGCTGCAAAGAGCAAAGGGAAGGCGTTGCGCCATCTGACGTGGCAGACCAATTGGACCAAGCTGCGTCGGGCTCGCGTCACGAACAGGCGGCTCCGGCGCGTCGTCTGTGGCCGCGCAGTGCTGCTTTTCTGCGGTGCGGCGACGGCTACTGCTGCTGAAGCGCGCGCGATCTGCAGGGCTGGCGGCTAGAGGGCTGGAGCAGCGACGAGGATTTGGGCAGCGCGCGGGTCGCCTCAGGCCGGGGGAGGGCGTCGCAGTCGGATGGACCGCGTTCGCTCCGCGCGTTTGGGCGGGGGATCATCTCGGCGGTTCTGCTCGGTCGCTTCGGCAACTATCCACCATCACACGCTTGCTCACCGCCCACAAGCCCTACATACACCCGGCCATTCCCACTTCCAGCAATTCCCGGCCCAAGCATTCATATTGTACTTCTGCTTCCATCCCGAGGGGCGCTTCCCACCTGTCCCCGCTTTCAGTCCTTGGCTGCGCCACTTTTCCGCTCAAATCATTCCGGCGCAATGGCTGATAACTATCAGGTGCTCGAGGAGCTTGGCAGTACGTCTCCCCCATAGCTCTCACCTATTCGTGGCTGACCTTTTTTGCACAGGTGGAAGCTTCGGTGTCGTCTACAAGGCAATTGAAAAGTCCACCGGCGAGATCGTCGCCATCAAACACGTACGTCCCCCGCCGCGCGACCCTGACGCCAGCTCGCTTACCCTCTCTCTCTTCAGATCGACCTCGAAGGCAGCGACGATGATATCCGGGAAATCCAGCAGGAGATCGCCCTGCTGAGCACATGCGCCAGTCCCTTCGTCACCCAGTACAAGGCCAGCTTTGTGCGCGGTGTCAAGCTATGGATTGTTATGGAATACCTGGGCGGAGGCTCCTGCTTGGACTTGGTGCGTGTCAAAGCGCGTCATACCTCCGGAACTCATACTGATTGTTGCGCAGCTCAAGCCTGGTCCCTTCGGTGAGGCGCACGTTGCCATCATCTGCCGTGAGCTGCTGCTCGGCCTCGACTACCTCCACCAGACCGGCAAGATCCACCGTGACATCAAGGCCGCCAACATCCTTCTCTCGCAAACCGGAAAGGTCAAGATCGCGGATTTCGGTGTCGCTGCACAGTTGACCAACATCAAGTCGCAACGCATGACGTTTGTCGGAACGCCGTACTGGATGGCGCCGGAGGTCATTCAAGAGATGGGATACGACTTCAAAGCCGACATCTGGTCCTTGGGAATCACTGCCATCGAGATGGCCAAGGGCGAGCCACCGCACGCTGAGACTCACCCCATGAAGATCCTTTTCCACATCCCCAAGGCACCGGCCCCGCGCCTCGAGGGCAGCGAGTACAGCAAGGAGTACAAGGACTTTGTCGCCCAGTGCCTGGTCAAGGACCCTGACAGGAGGCCTACCGCCAAGGAGCTTCTTAGGCACAAGTTCATCCAGCGCGCAGGCAGGATCGAGGGCCTGCGTGAGCTCATTGAGCGGAGGCAGATGTTCGACGCCCGCCAGAGGAAGATCCACCACCCCAAGTACTATGCCGAGACAATGTACGTCTATCACCCCCTGCACATGAGCTTTGAACAATTCACTGACCCACTTTCAGGCAAGACATCTCCCCGCTCAACGAGGACGATGACGACTGGGTGTTCGACACCGTTAAGCCCGTGCAGAAGCCGCAAACGAAGAAGAGGGCGCCGCGTGTGACATCGAGCGACTTCCCCGATGACATCGCGCATAGGCTCAACTTCAATCGTAGCGTCAGTGGTACCCAAAGGCCACCCTCCCGCCGTTCTTCTGCCGCAACTGCCATCCGGGTCTCATGCGACAACACATCCGGCACTGCCCGTCGTGTAAGCAACGCTAGGGAGCCCCTCGGAGTCGACATGTCCTTCGGCAACAGCAACTCGACGGTACGCCAGTTCCGTCGCATGTCCATCTCTGGCCAAAACTCGACCGTGGAATCCCGTTCTGGTACTACGAAGCGTCCTGGCAGCAGCGGCTCCGTCTCTTCCAGCGCTACACTGCTTCCGGAGTCTCAGAACGAGAACACGCCGCCTCTCCCCACTGGAACCATGGCTACCGTCTCACGCCTCACCAAGGAGTCTCTCCTCGGACGCCGTGCTTACGTCAAGGCCGTCGACGCTGCCTTCCACGAGACCTTTGCCTCCACGGCCTCTCAGCAGAAGCGCGAGGCTCTCGCCCAAGTGGCGCACGCGTGGTCCGCCCTCGACCGGCTCGACCCCGAGGGCGAGTTCCTGCTCCTCCGCACGCTCGTTGAGAAGCTCAACGGCGACCCGAAGCTCGCCTCAGCTCTCGGCATGGCGCCCGCCGGCATGCCGCACACGCCTCTCACCAGCGCCAGCTGCAGCCCCAACAGGCAGCCCGCTCTACCCACCCGTCCTCAGACGCCCAGCACCATGAAGCACAGCCACGACAGTGCATGCTATGCCGATGACTCGTCGTCGGCGCCCAACACACCGACGAAGCAGCGCCTCATGCTCACGCGGGACAACTCGCACGTCAAGTCGCACCGCCGGCGGCAGTCAACCGCCACCGCGGTTGGCAGCGACGGTAGCGACGACGGCATCTCCAGTGTCAAGGCGCGCCGGGGCTCCGGCTCTGTCATTGACGAGAAGAAGCTGCCGGGCTACGTCAAGCCGGGCATGGAGCATGCGGGCGTGCTGGCCGACGTCCTGTATGGACGATGGATGGAGGGTCTGATGTCCAGGTGGCCTAAGACTTAAGCGCAGCGCGCTAAGCCTGGCCTCCAGGAGCGTGTTGACTTTTGTTGTATTCGCTGATGTCTATGATGACTTGTGGATTTGCGATCGATTTGATACCACGGCAAAGCCCAGTTCAGCCCAGTTTGTCATTGTTATTGGATTTAGCCTTGCTTTTCGTTCGTTCGTTTTTCTTCTTGTTTGCCCCCTTCTTTTTCAAGTCTTCTTCTTCTTTCTCTGTACAAATGGCGGTTTCCCAGGCGGTGATGCAGGGCCGGATTGAAGGAAGAAGGCAAGGAGGAAGTTAGGGTAACGAGGCAGATTCCACGGGTGCGTGCAACCAGCGCCCTGGAGTCTTAGGGTTGGCTTTTCTTATGATATTTCCTATTATTTCTTCCTCTTCCTGCTCGTCCTATCTCTCGTACATCCATCTCTCAGCGGGTCGCGGTTTCGTTGTTTGGGGCACATGGCGTCTTTTCGAGCGAGTTTCCATTCCCTCTATATCTCTCATGCTCACGCTCATCACGCTCATCATACTCATGTCGACGCTTCATGCTCATACTCACGCTCAAACTCTTGCATTGGTGGCGCTATATATACAATACGTTTTTTCTAGACTTCTTTTACTACACTCGATATCCCTTACTACCACCACAACGACTTTTTCGGCACAAGCGCAGCGACGCCGCAACAAACCACCAAGACCTACCTACCTAGCATCTCTCGGATGCCGGATCGGGTCGGCTCGGGCCGGCCTCGGTCCGGCCGTCTGACCCTGGTCTTCCTGCCAACTGCGGGCCCCGGTCTCCCCGGCTGAGGCGGTGCGGTGCGGTGCGGCTCGCGGCGGCAGAGCCAGTGGAATTTTTTTTTATACTTTCTCTCCTACCGTATCTCAGGGCTATCTCCTTATCGGCGCGGGCGTCTGTGTGTATCGATAGTGGCGTCGCCTGGAGAGGGGACGTGGGAGGATGGGTGGGTCTGGCGCACTCGTATGTAGGAGGTATGGAGTTTTGGGCGGCATTGTCTCGTATCCAGTCTTTTTCTTTTTCTTTTTTTGGCGAGGACTCAGGTTGAGGATGAGTTGGGTGCTCTAGGACGCCAGATGCTGGGGTCTGCGTCGGTGTGTGTGTGTGGTCGATGCCTCCCTTAC